TCGACTTGGAGCCTGGCGGCTTGACTTGGACCGTCTTGGTGATGTTGGACCACTCGAGCGTCATCTTGGGCACGTCAACGAGGAGCTTCTCGCCGGCCGTCGGCGTCGCCACGTCCACAAACACTTGGTCGGAGCGCTCCATGAGAGAAATTGAATTGTGAGAATGCGGATCGCGTGAAAGCGCGGGCCTCAACATCGTCGCTGATTGGCTGATTTTGGATCGATGATGCTACAGACGGTGGAACGTCACAAGGCGAGGCAGTGTGTTGGCACCGATTACGTTCGCGGCCGCGTAATTATACACGTGGGGGGTATACGAGCGGCAAGTCTATGGCGGATAAACTGTTCACGGCATGAAAGGTCAACTTTTGGTCTACCGCCGCGTTCGATCCTGTAAACAACAGACGACGGATCTCGTTTGACAACGCTGTGGACGCCACGTCACCACCTCAGGTCATTATGTTTCAAATGATAAACGTTACGTAGTTTGGCTAGCGGTTGGACGGACGCCGTTGATACTTGGCCATAGGTGTGGCTCGCGAGACGGCTGCGCCGTCGCTGGCTGGCTCACTCTGACCTGGAGTGCATAGAATTGAAATCGAAGCGCACTTGATGTTGCGTGTTAGATACTGTACAGCAAATCGGGCGATCACCAACAAGCTCACAATACGAGAAACTCTACGTTTGGCATCAACCTCAATATTTTTCGTGCCCCGCCCCGCCATCAAGGAGCTTTTACGAGCAGCGAATGTCAGTGGCTTCAAAGCAGCTCAACAGCGAGTCGCAAACCTTGATGCCAAGAGAAAGCTGGACCTTGAGAAATAGAACGTATCCCCGTCGCGTGCGAATCACGTTACTCTCGTTGAATCTTTCCCGTTACATGGCACAGAAAAGAGATCTCACGAAGTCCACGCTCCCTGCGAATACACCAGAAGAGATCAACTTGTGATGCATTTACATGGCCTGTAGCATCATGCACGCATTTTGACCAATCATCGTCGCCCATACCACACAGACGGTGATCACATATGGGACAATCATTCTCGAAACTTGACACGCCACGAGTAGCGTCACTGGCCGCCCTCGTCGATCCTCTTCCAATGCCAGAACGTTTCATATCACAATTCAATTTCTCTCATGGAGCGCTCCGACCAAGTGTTTGTGGACGTGGCGACGCCGACGGCCGGCGAGAAGCTCCTCGTTGACGTGCCCAAGATGACGCTCGAGTGGTCCAACATCACCAAGACGGTCCAAGTCAAGCCACCAGGCTCCAAGTCGATGGTCGACAAGGTCGTACTCAACGACGTGCACGGGTCGGCGACCGCGGGTGAGTTTGTTGTGCTCATGGGTCCGTCCGG